AAAACTACATGTATATTTTGTTCTTTTTATTTGGTTGAGAACTGCTTCCCCATTTTTGATGTGATTTTTTTGAGTTTTACCCAGCCATGGAGAGGTTGTGTTTTTCTTGTAGAAGCTTCCATTCTCATGGAGCAAGCTGATAGGTTAATGAGAGATTTTTCCCTGGGCAGAGCCTTGAGAGTCAATTGAGGGTTTCTACAAGTAAAATGAACAGCAAGTTGAAAGTAGCCAGCATATCAGATCTCGATGGGCAAAAGGAGAGTTTGGACAATGAGTTTGAGAAATAATTCTTGAAGTTACAAGCCAAATTCAAGGGATGCTAGTAATTCAAATGATAATTAACGAGAACCTAGGTAATATATTAGCCGTGATGTTGCAAAGAAGGGTAATCAGTAGGACTCAGAGACAGTTAAGGTAGAAGAGGGAGGAAACAGAAGATGATTCCTGTTTCCAGCTCAGAGGAGAGGAGGTAGTGATCTGCCAAAGGAGTGGCTAACAGGATGCACAGGCTTGCTGAGAAAAAGGAAAAGACATTAATATGCAAAGGCATTTTCTGCTTGAAGTAGTCCAAATGGCAACTAGCTATTCTACCAAAGATTTCTAAAAAAAAAAAAAAAAAAATCTCGGGACAAGTGAAGCTGTCAGCTTAAAAGCATAAGGTAAAACCAAAGTCAAATGTTAGAGTGTCCAGGCATCTGAGTACCTAAAGAACAAAGCCAAAGACTGCTGTTCCACACATTTAGTACTGACCTTAAGTTGAAAGCTAAAACAGAGACTCTTCACATATACATATGTATTTGCAGGACTATTTCAGATGTATTATTTTATATACCTAAAACTGCCCTGCAAAGTATCAGTTTCATTTTATAGGCATTTTTTCAGTATCCCTAATGTCCACTCTTAGAAGTTTTAACTTTCCTTTTTAGAACAGGAGGCATTGCATTTTGATTTTCATCTTGATCTCTTGTTCTGAAATATCTATCATCATCTTGGGACTTTTGTCACACTAACCAAGTAGATTATTATACAGTCTCAGTGGTTTTGTTTTCTTTTCTAAAACATGGCTTACGTAGAAGATGT